TATTTATTTGATTGCACTAATCAATGACAATTATACATTCACCAAATGAAACCAAGAAAAAAAAATCATACTCTGTTGATAGATATTAAAATGCACACGGTTAACAATGTCTGGATTGAAATGTGGTGCTGTGGGCTACAAACAAACAACAACATGGCAGTCCATTACAGAAGTTCACAAAGAACCTTTGTGATGCGCAAAGGACCAATGAGTTTTCCACAAGAACACTTGGCCTGGGAAGACCTCTGGGGAGAGTATTCATCACTGATCTCATTGTAACCCCTCCCACATGAGCATCTCCACATCTGTGGGCGTTGTTGACCTGATATTGGTCCAGAAGAAGTTATCCTTGACTTATTTAAGCTCTTTTGTGATTGGTTCTCCTCCAAGGAAACAAAAGGGTCTAGGTACCAGTTCTTGGAACTGATCGTTAATGTGACAATCTCTCTTTTGTGGTGCTGGCCAATCCTGCTGAAGAACGATAATGAGTAAGGAGGGCTCCATACCACTTCCACTTCTCGAGGTCGGGCCACATTTTCACCTAGACTGTTAAACCTCTGACGGGAAACTTGTTGCCTTCCCCCAATTCTGGACCCTCTGGTTGTCTGCCTCCCAAAAGCACGTGAAGGGTGAATTTCTGTTGTGTCTGTTGTGAGACATCTGAGCTGGTCACCTTTGAAGCACAGTCCATAGACGTCTCCATAGTTCATGCCCTTTGCATAGTTTTTGTCACATAAACCGATGGTCCAGTCAAAGTCGTTGGAGAGGCTGATCACCCAGCTCTGAAAGCTAGGATCAGACCGTGTGGGGTTACAGTTCTGAAAGTGAAACATGTGAGCAGAACATTGACCCAGCCAACTACTGTAGAAAACCTTCCTGTTGTCTTCAGAGAGTGACATGCCAGGAGGATCAAAGATCAGGTCTGAACTTGAAGATATTACCTCCTGCTGGTTCTCTGGGTCAAACCAGAGTCAACAGGGGAATCCACACAACGTGGCCGGCTTGCTTCACCATTTTTTCACCATTCTGTCCTTAAATCTCCTGAACCAGGTTTGTCAGCCGATCACGGGCTCCAACCCTTTTCTCAGATCCACGGCCTTGGCCTTCTCCACATCCTGATGCACCTGAGAATACATCTGCAGGAAACTGAAGGAGTCCTTCTCCTTCTGGGCTGCTTGCATGCTGCTCTTGCTGGTTTTGATAGACACCATACGGGCAGAGACTGAACTCTGGACACTGGTCAGAGCAATGTCACGCAGGTTAGTCACAGCCTCAATGAGGCGCACACTAGAGCGACCCAGCTTCTCTGCTTTTCACTCTTCTCACTTTCCAGACTCAAATTCTCATCATCTGTTTTCACCAGTAAGGCCTGCTGCTCAGCATTGAGCTTCTCCAGGAAGCTCTTTGTGGGCTGTGGAGAAGGTCTTCATGTTGTGTAAGCGGTGCTGGTCCTCAATGGCACAGGAAACACACACAACAGGTCAAGGCTGAGTCATCCAAGCAGTAGTACTCCAGTAGTTTGTCATGTTGGCCGCATTTAATGCTTCCACTTAAAGCCTTGGGTTCGGTCAGAGGATGAGTTTGTATAAAGACAGGAGTGGTCAGGTGGGCCTGGAGGTGCTGGACGCACATGGAGATCTCACATTTCATGCAGGTCTTCCGTGCTGGTTTCCTGTCCTCCTCTGTACACATGTCACAGAGGATAACTTGTCGATTCATTTTGCCAGACATGTTTTCATAAGCTAGAAGATCTTGGAATTAAATACTCTTAAGTCTCTGTCCTCAGGTTGCCCTTGTAAACAAAAGATTGATTCTGACCTGAGTATATAAACGGGTCTCGAATTAGCTGTTTGCTCGTTGCTGGTCCCTCAGAGTCTGGTGCGATAGCTTGAGCTGTACTCTCCGACTCTTTTATTGCAGTAGGCTACAGTTAGTGTCACTTTTCCGCCCTATACAGGCCATAAAAACCTCACCTAATGATAAGAGTACCTTAAAATTAGTCATCTACTGCAGGTAGAATCTACACTCAGTTTCAAAGATACACCAAGCTAAATAAAACTAATGCAGCCAATTTATTCAGTCATACAACCACCCTGTATGGTCTTATACAGGGTGGTTGTATATCTGTGTACTTTATCCTTCTATACTTTGACTATGTTTGAGGTTATAAACAGAATGTAAAAGACAAATCTTTTAGGATTAAGTGTCAGGAACTGTCTTTAGTATCAACAGAGGACACTTAGTGATGTAGCTGGATAACATGAGAATGAATGTCATAGCTATTAATGTAGTTTTCTATTTCTTGTGCAATATATTTTCCATAATATCCTAGAATTGTACTATATTTTTGTTAAAATTGGTGTGGATTATGGGTTATTTTGAATGTTTTGTAGTTTAATAGCTTAGTTTGAATTTAAAAAATGAAAAAAAGTGTATGTATGTTTCTATTGTATTTATATATAAATATGCAGTGGACATTGATGTAAACAAACAGTAGTAGGAAGAATTATAAATGAAACATTGCAATAAATAAAAAAAATAAAAAAGAGATTATAATAAAATGCATTCCTGAGTTAATGTAACTTTATATCAAGTGTTAGTTATAATATCTGGGTGCAGTGGGCGGGTTTTATGTGTTGCATTGAATCAACAGGACAAAAACAATCGTTGCATTTAAAGTTAAGACAGATTAAAGGTAAGAAACCATCTATTAATGAAGTTAGTGATGATATATATAATATGTTTTATTAATACTGCGAAGGAGAAGATGAATAACTACTGACTGTGTTGTTTTATAACCTGTGCAGGCTGCGCAGTGAACTACCGCGCAGCTATTACCTGATATTTACAGTCAGCTAAAGCTAACAAACGGAGGAATGCTCTGGTGCGCAGCCGCAGCTCAATCGATCAGCGGTGGTAATCAATCACCTGTGTGTTACTGATTGTTGCCGTAGACTCCTGTAGCCACGTTAGACTTCATTTCGCAAAAATTAGAAGAAAATATCGACGCCGGAGTTTAGCTACCGTTAGCCAGAATAATGCTAATTAAACACGTGTTAATGTTACTTCATTAAAGTGAGCTGGTCAATTATTTAACTAAATTAAATTAAGTTTAAAGTTTGTTAACGCATGTCTATATAAGTGTCTATATTAGTATTTCTACTAAGTTATATGTCACTTTATTCTTCAAGAGGGAAATATTGGACTTTATTTTCTTTACTATGATTAATATTAATATTTCCGTGAGTTTACTAATAACTCACAGAAAGTGCTGCCACCACATTGATACATCAGCAATTACAATATAATAACAAATATATGAATACTTTACACTAAAATACGTTTTTCTAACATAATGAAATGAAAAAGTGTATATAATAATAATAATAATATATATATCTTTAAATAATTTAATTATATTTTGCTCATAATATGTGACATTTTTAAAGGTAGCATGGTAACATGTCTGTCAACTCATAATAAATAACACTTCTATCACCTCTGGCTGTTTATATATATTTTATATTTCAGTATGTATCTTGATACAGTATATTTTCTGGAAATTCAGTTGTAGATTTAACTATAAGAGCCTTTAGGTTAAGCCAGTGTAGTACTTTATCATATTGACATTAAAATAATCCTCCTCACTGGTTTGCCACATAACCCACAATTGCCCAATACAACCAGAAATATTAGATAATAAGATGAAGCTTCCACTGGATAAACTATATCTACCTGCAGTATATAAGGTCATAATTACTGTGGGTGTTAACCCTTTTTGTTTTTCTGCCCTTTGCAGCTGACATTACCACTGAAGAGAAAGATGAGGCAGACAGCTGATGGCCTCAGACAAAAGACAAATGCCACACCTGGAGAGACTTTATCAGAAATGAACATCGCCCCAGTGGCTTTAAGTCTCAACCAGACCAGTATACTGTGTCTCCCCCTGGTGTCTGACAGTAAGAGGCTTATATGGGTCCACTCTAATGAGGTCAACCTACAGCTGGATGGTGCAGGAGAGCTGGACAAGGCCTTCGATAGGTTCCCATACCTGACGCAGAAACAGACGGATGCACTGGCACAGCGCTGCTCCCTGCACCCAGACCACGTGAGGGTGTGGTTCATGGTACAGCGGCTCCGCTACGGCATCAGCTGGGACTACAAAGATATCAACAAGGTTCGGAGGATGTTCAAGTCAAGTCAGAGAAAGGAAGCGCTGCAAAGGGGTGGAGGAGACGTTAGGGAGCAACAGAGTGCAAGTAAGGGAAGAATGATGGGAAAAAATGTGAGGGCTAATAAGCGTTGGGAGAGAAAAATGAAGCAGGAGCAGCCAACGAAGAAAGAGAAGGACAGAAAAGTAGAAGAACTAGAGGAAGACAAGGGGAATACTCAGAAAAAGCGGAAAAGGGTGAGAGTGGGCGACAAGAAGCGAAAGAAGAGAGCAGGAGAAGTAGAAATAACAGGTGATGAAGTTGTGAGGGAGTCCACCAAAACCCACCAGAAGAAAAAGAAACCAAGAGCAAGCAAAAGATTACTGTCTGTCCAAGAGTGGCCGGCCTACAAGAGCTTTGTGGTGCCTGATGAGGGGCTGGACGTGCGTTCTCCACTCATGCCCCTTCTTCAAACTCCAGCCTTTGGTCTGTCTCCACTCACTGACAACCAGACGCCCAATATTCACATGACCCCCCTGAAAAGCGGCTTTGAGAGGAAAACAAAAATGGAAGCCAAGCTGGAGGGAGAACTGTGGGCAGAGTCAATAAACCACAGTGGTACCGTCACTGATGTTGGCCTACTGAAGGAGCTCATAGAAGTGACCAATAGCCCTGCTGCTGCAGACGGCACTCGGCCCCGCACGAAGACGCAGCCCCAGTTGGACATGATGAGGTTGGCGTTCTTGCACTGCCAGTATCCGGACAGCGATGACTACAACTTACTGGCGCAGCTGATCGGCGTCCCCCGCTACGACTTGGTTCAGTGGTTCGGCGACATGCGCTATTACATCAAGAAAGTGAAGCCGGGCTGGATGAATCCAGAGCAGCACAGCCAGGCGCTGGCCAACATCAAGTACCGGCAGTGCCTGAACACGCTGGTAAAGGCCCAGCCCAGTGAGGGCGGCAGAAAGGCAACCTGCAAGGTGAAGCCTGACAAGAGTAAGAGCTGGGGCGAGGATGAGAGCGTGCAGGCGCCTCCAGAGTAGAAATTATGCCACAGCCTGTGTACCTAATATTCCACCGGGGGGGATCTTAATATTTGGAGAGATGCATCAAAAAATGTTTTTATGAGGGTGCAACTGTTTGTTATGTTGGACTTTAAGACAGCTTTTATTACACAGATGTTTGATAAAAGGCAGTGTATTGTTGTTATACTCACTTAACATGTTGGTTAACGTGTAAGATTCTTGTTTGCGATCTTGATGCAGTTACGAATCATTGAGTCCCTTTGTGCTGTGCAGATGTTTTTTTTATTGACATTCAAGTTAACACTTTTATTGCTTGTTGTTCGAACATGACTCGTCCTGTGATTAGTTACAACAAAAACGTTCATAAACTACAAAATGAATGCTCTGTTCTTTTTTTCAAGAAAGTTCACCTGCCAGCCCATAATCCAAACCAAAATTAACAAAAATATAGTACAATTCTAGGATATTATGGAAAATATATTGCACAAGAAATAGAAAACTACATTAATAGCTATGACATTCATTCTCATGTTATCCAGCTACATCATTAAGTGTCCTCTGTTGTTAATAAAGACAGTTTCTGACAATCCTTGAAGATTTGTCTTTTACATTCTGTTTATAACCTCAAGCATAGTCAAACTATTTAAGGACATTTACAGACACTACCTCAAGAGATGTTCATGTCAAAAAAGTGGTTACTTTCCCATAATTTTAAGGAGGTAAACAGCAGAATAATTATACAACACAGTGGCTACCCAGCGAGATGCTAGTCGCTCTATCTTACAGCTACATAGGTCTCTCTCGGCCCCGTCAGTTCCAGCTGGCGGTGTACTCTCCCCTCTGTGGCTGCCAGAGCTCAGCGCCTTCGATAATGCGGCGGATCATGGAGGCGGAGGTGATAAGCAGGTGTCCAGCAGCGTGTAGGAGGGTGGAGGCCACACGCAGGGCTTCTCTGAGGAACAGAACCGAGATAAAGTGTCATCAGTATGTTTTTATATCTGGCATTGTCCACTAAATGTGGACTTTGAAAGAGCTTATTGCCTTCTGATTGAAGCAAGTATTTTCTGTGATAAAGTATTACTTTGATTTGTGCTTTTTATTGCTATAACAAAAAAAATTATTTTTAATGCAGTTTCTTACTTATTATTTATTTATATATATCTATTTATTTATAAGATCCTTCACCCCCTTCCCCTCGGCTTACCTGAGGACTTTCTTGGGCCCCAGACACTGAAAGTTAGCGCTCACAGAGTAAATGCCTTGAAATGTGGCCTTCACACTCAGGGAGCCAAAGACATCCTTTGGACTCATCTTGTACAGGTCAAAGGTGACACGAGCTATGTCCTTCCCGGTCCGAGGCTTGTTGTGGTCTTGAGATTTGAGCACAACTGAACCCTGGAGGATCAGAGACAACAGTCACATTAAAGGAGCCTGTGTAAAGGTATGGGGCTTTATAAGGAATATTATTGGCTTCTTTGGTCAGACGTACTGGCTGTGGTCTCCATGTCTGTCCGGGCTGCAGGGCCATGAGCATGGTGTTGTCGGGCAGGGTCATGAGGAACTCTTCGGAGTCAACCTCTGTGCCGTCCTCCTCACAAACCAGAGACAGAGACACGGCAGACAGGGACAGCAGCAAAACCTGGCACACCTACAGCAACACAACAAGACCTTTTAAGACCTTTTTAATAGCACGTAGAATGCAGTTCAACATAAAGTACGACCAAGAACCAGTATGGAATCCAGTTATATAGGAAATAGCTTTTCAGCCTCTCAGAAACAAGAGCAACATCTCTTAGAAATATGAAGCTGTTTCTATCAAACATTTTCATGTTACAATTTAACTATAAACATAGCAACTTTCCAGTGAGCATGTTATAGACTTACTGCTATTCAGACTTTCTCTGTCTGCAGGCTACACTTCAGACATCTTATCTTTATATCACTGTGAGTGCAGCCTTGACTCAGGACAACATGTGATCACATATTTGACATCATCAAGGCTGATTATGTCATGTCTTATTGTCTTATTGTCATGACAATGAAACATCGTCGATGGGATTTTTTAGACAACATAACATTATGTTTTAATCTACTTGTTTAATCCACTGATTATTGACAGTATTTTTAGTGTTACGAAACATTATATAATTCAGTTTCATGCTACATTCTTAAAAGAAAATGCTTATGTTTCCCTTTTTAATTAGTTTTTTAATCATTTATATACAATCTTATACTTTTTTTTATCATTATTTATTTCTTTGTACATTTTCTTTTCTAAATTTTGAATCCTGTAAAAAGTTTTACCCCAATAAGAACTGTTTCTTTTGTTTCTTTCCATTAGTGATCTTTTACAGTCAGTCTCACCCTGTCCTTCAGCTCCTCCAGGGTCCCGGCTGTGATGCCCTTCCTGGTCTCCCTGTTGTGGCAGCACACTCTGAAGGGGCGCTGTGGCGGAGACCACACTCGCTTGGTTACAGATCTGAAAAAAGACCAGTCAGAAAAGTCATTAAATTATTTAAAGTGTTGGATCCTCTGACATTTTGACTTCAGAACATTTATGATGGCTCTGATCTGTTTGAGTGTCCCAGTAAGTCAGTGAGCCAGCATGAACAATAAACTGAAGCAGCTAAATGGAATTCAGCAATCATTCATTTTATTATTTACACTTGTACTTTTCTGAAAAGCCTGACTTCTTTTTGTGCAATGGAGCCCCTTGTCTTTTTCACACATTAATTATCATTTTTATTATCGGTACAATGTTTTTTTCTGCATTAGATGAGATTTAGTCATCAGTTTCTGTTGTAATAGACTTCAAAATGTTTTTAAATGTTCACCTTGTTTGTTCATTTTGAGGTGAAATAAGCAAATATTTAAAGTCTTGTTTTCATACCTTACTGTAACCGTTGCCACCCCTACCCGACACATTATAATAGGCCAGTATAACACAGCTTAAAATTACATGTTATATCATTGAGTTGATTACTTTAATTAAAGCCTACATTCATTTGAGGGCTCCAACAGCCACACAGTGTTGTTTATGGTATGCTGATCAGGTAAAAAGATCATGAATCAAATCAATAAATACGATATTAAAGGCCAAAAACAGATTATTCACTTACTTGATGAATGTAGATGTGGCATCCATGCTTGACAGTCTCTCGTTGTCTCTTCTCACAGCCTTATTTTGTTGAAAGGTGTTTTGGTAAAACAAATTGTAATGTAACCTCAGAACTGCCTATGTTCGATCCAGCAGCTGGACTTTGCCCCGAATCTGGTGATAACTCAGATACAGGACAACACAGGACAAAGTTCATCTCGCCTGAGAGAGAGAAACATCCTTTCTTTATCAGACAAGCTCAATTATTATTACCTCTACCGCCTCACTGATTCTTACTGTATAAAATGATCAATGATCTCTGGTGGACAAACTAGGTTACTGTATGTGATGGTGACATATTACAACTACTGCAATGTTATGTGACTTTATCGGCTGACAACTGCACTGATATTTCAAGGATTCAGGGTTATTTTATTGTCATTTACAATGCAAGGCTGTATGACAAAATGTAGATATTGTTTCCTGAACACTACCTATAAAATGTAAATTGATTGAGTCATAAAAAAAATAAAATAAATCACTAATTTGTTTGATGAATTGTTAAGGAAGGACTTTAACAGTCTGCAATAAGCTAATATAAGGTAATATATTGTCCCAAGCAATTTATATATGTTTATATATAAATAATACATTTTTTATTATCTTTATTTAACCAATTTTAGTCCCATTGTATGTAGAATATATTACTAATGGTTAGTAGTTAGTATTATTGTGTTTATTAAATGTTCCTGGTTTTTATCCTTTCTCTTACAGACTACAACTTTTAACTAGTACATAATTAGTCTTTATGTGCTCTTTTAAAATGCTCTTTTATTATTATTTACAACTTATTTCTTCACGTTTTGTTGTTTTTTTCTTTAACCATCAACATTATGTTGCCGCGTCACATCCTGGATACAAAATTTCGCGCGCTCGTTTTAGTATATCTCAATGCGCGCGCGGGCGGGGTTATGTTCATTTTTCACTCCAACTGCGCGAAGCACCGCCCCTTCGCCCGACCCCGGCGTTAAGATGCGAGCGACCCGCCATCGCCGCAGTGAAGGCGGGAGGACGAGGAGCTGAAGTTTCCACACAAGTGTCGCTAGCTTTGTTTTGTCTCCGGCGGTAAACAGCGGTAGAGAAACCGAGAGAAGTTGGAGCAGTGGCGGGAACTGGGCTGCACGCAGGAGTTAGTAAACATCCTCTCAGCTGAATTTGCTGGTGTCGTTTCGTTTTGGTCAACTCTCGGTCCCCTCGTCTTATAAGTCGCTAAGCTACCGTACAGTTTCTCCCCGGAATGGCCACAAGGAAACCTAAGGAAAATGGTCGGTGTTAAAGGCTGGGAACACTTTAATGCTTTTATTTTGACAATCTAAAACTTGTTGCACATAATTTAAGATGATTGAGGTGTTCATTTAGGTTGGGGGGCAGGTGTGGTTGTCAGTAGAGTCCTGATTGACAGCTGATGGGAGACATTACCACGTAGATCAACAACAACAACAAAAGCATCAACACCTGTCTTATTTACTCTGTCTCTGTCTCTGTCTCCTGCACAGACGCCAGCCTTCCTTTCGCTGCTCTTCAGCTGCTGGCCCCGCCTGTGCGCCTGGTGTCTGCAGCCGTGTGGAAAGTGATGCAGCGGAGGGACGTGATGCAGTACGGGGTCGTGGAGGAGTTTGTGACCTCTGCCTGTGAGATTGTCCCCGGGCTGCTCACCGTGAGACACCAGGGCAAGCTGGCACTGGGGCTGAGAGGACGGGTGAGGACTGGGTCTCCAATAAAAATACCCTAAATTATTCAAAATATTATTCACATGTTAGATAAAAGAAATGATTGAAATGGTGGAACAAATAATGTTTGTTGGGTCAACTTGTGTTGTGTTTATTGTGCTCTTAGAACCTTATCTTAGAACTGTTTACCAGCATAACTGGCATTGTAAAAACTTGATCAGTTAGTTTACACAACTTGGTTAGGGCTTCATATTTTGATATTCATCCATATCAATTAATCATGCATAAAGTAGTCCCATACACTGGGAGAAA